TTTTTTTTATTAAAAATGTGCGTCTGAATTATGCTTCTTCTACTGTTACATTTCTACAAAAATAATATTTGAAGAGTAGAATAACAAAAAAATATAAAGGTAACGTATACGCAACTCATGACTACAACAGAAAGAAAAGAAACATTCAAATGTAACCGCTTTGGGTTTTTTCACACAAAATAATTTTTTTCCCATACTTGATCATTATTCGATTAACGGTGTGTATGTATGTTCCTGTCGGTGGATGCGAGATTCAAACCCACATTCACATCCTGAAATATATTATTTCACTAGAGAAGCTGTGGCGAAATCTACAACTACCTGAAATACCACGTACATGCGCCACTGAAAGTTTTTATATTAGCAATAATCTTAGCTCTGTGAAAAATAATTTTATCATTTTTGTTCAAAGCAATGTTCTTGTACACTAATACACTTATCCATTCTTTCAAACCATTGTTCATAATATTGGTAGAAATCTATCTTCCGAAAACAGTCCATTAATGTCCTGAAACTTTTTTAGGAACAACCAGAAGTCACAGGAGCTTAAGTGTGATGAATACGCTGGGTGACCCATTAATTTAATACGTTGAGCATTTAAATATTTTATCGTTTGTGTGGCCTTATGAGCTGATGTATTGTCATGATGAATAGTAAGATTATTAAGATGTCGACGTTTCTTTACTTCTTTTAAAATGTATACGTCATTTTCAAGCTATACACAAGATTGATTTAAAATATAATCATATGATGGATTCAGATTTGACCGAATATGGATTTCAGTGGGGCTCCACAATTCAGTTTGCCGATGATCAGTTAGAGTTAATCATTCTCATGAACAATTCAAACATACCTGTCCTTACTTTATGACACTACGAAACGAGAAAGAATACCATTTAAATTAGATGCTAATTTACAAGTGCGAACCTATGATGATGTGATTATAAGATGCTTCTCTTTCAAAAACTGATTTGAAACAAAAGTTTCCTCAGTTATCATCAATTCATCATCGCACCAAGTAAATGAATGTATTACCAGATTTCATCAACGTCTATTAAACCAATACAGGAAAACACGTATTATAGTTATTACACATAGTGGATGGTTAAGGATAGAATTAAATGAAAAAACATTCGATTACGGACAAATTGTAAAGCAAGTATTCGAACATGAATATGATGTAGTCGGAAACTATAAAGACAAGTGTGACATACAAAAGAATACCATATATTTCCTGTTATTCACTTATTTAATTCTGCTGTATTCGAACTAAGCATATGATATAGAAAATAGAACATTGAGACAGGCAAAGGATTAAATAAATTAGATTGTTTTCTTCAGTTTATTTGAAAATTGATCTCAATAAGCTAGTTTTAGACAATGCCATTCTCATAATACACATAGTTTCTGAAAGGGTGTGAGTGTGCATACTATAATCATCTCACACACACATCCTCATTTATATTGAAAGTATGATGTTGAAATATATATATATATATATACACGAATAAGTAAGCAAAACCATTAGCATCTTGAAAGCATGAATGCATCTGTGAGATTTATAAAACATCTACTCTTAAGTATGGTTATTGTTAATACTATGTAATTCTCATATTATTCTTCATGAATCTCATTGCATGATAAAAATTTTTAATGATATTTAGTAAATAAAACTGGCTCAATTATTTTATCTATCTGATATAAAATGACAACTTTGGAAAGCATGGTATTATATGAAAAAAACATTTCATGCACGGATAATTATTCTCATTAATTGCATACAGCCATTAGTGATTCTATATTTGTCATATTCTGTGATGTTGACATGTAACTCTTCAACCGAAATAAAACCATATTCTAACATTCACATCCAATTTGCTTCCTTTTAAGTGGCACACATAGAGAAGACAAACGCTATTTTTTTATATGAGAAAAAGAAAAAAATGCATTTGAATTGTTTTTTATTGTCTTTTGAGGGTGTGAATGTAAGAATCTGACAGTTACAACAGTGCGTGTGCAGCCTCAAAACGATGAAATGTAATTATCAAAAAGATTAGTTGAATATTCATAGGTAAGTACTATAAAAATTGTTTTTCTGCCATCATTTTCACAATTTTTTTTTATTTTTTAATGAATTTTTTGGAATGGAAAAACTTCTTTATAGTCAATCTTCTATTGTAACCTCGTGATTGCATCAAATGAGAAAGGACTAAAACTAGGAGATTATGCAATGTTTTTGAGGAAGGTAGTTTAATATTTCCCTATAACCCATGAATGATAATAAAGAAAAAGAATTACATAGTTTTAGTTTAATCAATAGAACTCTGTTGGTTTTTGCACACTGTTTCTTTTTATATATCTACATTTTTTATTATTTATTTATGTAACGATGATTTTTTACCAGATTAAGCTTGAGAATATTATTATTATTGTTTTGTTTAATTTGATAAAGAATAGAATCTGCATATATTTTACCTTCGCAGTTGATTACTTTTAGGAATAAATTAAATCGTTTATATTAAGGATATGAAGAAAAAAAAAGAAATGCAGAATAATATATTAAACTACTATTTATAAATGTTCTTGCAAAACTAAAGTTTAATTTGATTTTATTCCGTTGTTTATTTTAGTATAACAACTAAATAAGCTTTTTTTAACGTTATTTGCATTGAAACACAATTATTATGTCATTAGTATATATTGGTCAACAAATAACTATTTATGTTGGTTTCTTTTTTGTTGTTATTGGTATTGTAGGAAATGGAATAAATATTTTAGTATTTTTAAAAACTCGTACTTATCGTACAACTTGTTGTACATTTTATTTTCTTATTAGTTCTATTGTTAATATTGCTTTTATAATAACTAATATTACATCGCGTATTGTCAGTTCTGGTTTTGGAATTGATGTTACTCGTACATTAGTACTCTGGTGCAAAGCACGACAATATTTCGTTATTACATTCGCTTCAATTACATTTACTTGTTCATGTTTAGCAACAATCGATCAGTTTTTTGTTACATCACAAAATGCAGATCTTCGTAATTTAAGTAAAATGAAACGAGCCCATCGAATTACATTGATTATGATTATTATATGGTGTGTTCATGGAATTCCTTGTTTTATATTCTACAATATATCACCTGTAACCAAGACATGTATGAGCATGAATACTTTGTATGCTATATATATTATCATTCATCTTCTTGCTATTCTCTCTGCCATTCCAGTTCTAATCATGATTGTATTTGGATATCTAACTTATCGAAATATTCAATTGACACAAATTCTTGCTTTAGAGCAAGCTGATCGACAATTGATTAGAATGACAATGTTTCAAGTTATACTGGTTATTTTTTCTCTTGTACCATATGGTGGTAGTATTGCTTATAATTTGATCACATCGGGCAATATTAAAGATCCGAATCGAGTGCTCGTTGAAAACTTTTTTACAGCTATATTTAATCTATTTCCTTATTTCTATTATACAGTATGTTTATTGATATTTATCTTTCGATAATAGAAAAAAACTTTTTTTGTTCATTTAGGGAAGTTGTTATATGTTTTTAATTTCATCGAGCCGATTTCGTCGAGCAACAAAAGAACAAATATTCTTTTGGCGAAGATGGAATCGTGTCTTACCTACATCTGTTAGATGAATCTACAATCTATAAATCAACATTAGTCGAATATTTCCTAAACCGTTTGTATGCCGATAGGAGATTGTGTCTCTGTATTTTTATCTAACCATATCTACATACATCCTGACTCTATTTTTCTTTATATTAGATTGTAAATATTATTCTACTCAATTTGATTATTTAGATTGTTCAACTGAAATCAGTTTTTATATTATATTGCTATGATTTTATTTCTGAAGTAAAGTAACGCGTAATTAAGATAGTTTGAAAGCAGATGAACGGATAGAAGATGAGCAAAGAAGAAAATAACTGACGGAGTTCTTGTTAGAATGTTTCCACAATTGATACAATCATCCTCCAAACTACCAAAAATATGACTAACCAATGAAGATTGATCGATGCCATTGTGCTGGTGAATGCTAAAAAAGAAAATGGTAGTAGATAAATGCAGATAGATGTGCGTGTAATCATCTTGTTGATAAGATCATGACTTACTTGATGTGGACGTAGTAGTTGTCGTTGTCGAAGTACTTGTGGCTAGAAAATAAGAATAATTTATAATCACATCAATAGTATCTTATTAGTTCAAGAGAATGCCAAGGTTTTCTAGTCACTCGCACGTTTGCTAAGATCGCATCCTCTGAAGAACTGTGAGGTTTAGTTCCAAATATACTGGAATTCATCAACAATCTTTTTCTCTGAGATTGAATAAAAGAAAAGAAAAGAAGATGTTCAATACTTACTAAAATAATTGAGAGAAACATTCTTTGGTCCAGAGACAATGATCGATAAATTTCCCGTGACATTTGGATAAAATGTTGTAACAACCAAAATATATTTCACATCAACTTGAAGATCAACAATCAGTTTGAATTGTCCTTCATTACACATTCCACTATGTTCGAAAAGTTTATTCTTCAATGGTTGATTTGGATCAAAATTGTCTTTGTAAATATAACCAAAAGTTCCCATTTGACTTTCACTCCAGAGAACATAGGATCCATTTGTTATTATATTGAATTGAAATACTTCGTAATAAAAATCGGCTCTTTGAGAATCTCGATCGAAGGTCGGACTCTGACTCGTCAATTTGATTGGATAATTTAGTTGAATATTAATTGGATTTTCTAATCAATTCAAAAATGAGAAGATTTTTAATTTGATCTTTCGAAGAAAAACTTTGAAAGAATAAATATTTCACTTACTAAGATATTTGAGAATAACTCTGCTGGAGTTGGAAACAGTGATCGAAAATTTAGCAATTTGGTTTGGGTAATATGTTGTCACAACTATTAAGTAAGTCGTGTCCACTTGAAGAAAGACGTCACGTTTAAAATAGTGAAAGGAAATGCTACCATCATTTTCTCGAAGTAGATTTTCCGATGAATTAAGTGGATTGAAATTGTTTTTATAAATTGATACATATGTATCCCTCGTACCATTGCTACGAATAATGTAATTTCCACTCATGAATACTTTCATTTGGATCACTTCATAATAATACATTTCTTCGTTACAATCACGCGAGTATATTTGACTATTCATTGTCAATTGATATGGAACTAAAAAATATATATACATGAAAACATTTGAATCTTCTCTTGGTATTCAAAGATTTCCGATGTTCAACAATAATTTCTACACTCGATATCTTCTCTAGACACTCAATTAAAACAAACTCAAGTCTCAAACAATAAAATAATTCCATACACCCGAAATTTTGGAATTGATTCAATTAGAGAATCTTTCTCATCAGAAATAATGTTTTAATGGAAATCTAAGCCCATGTCAATATTCATATTAAGTACTGTTGGTAACGATATTTTGACATCACTCCTGTCTTCTTAGAAAAAAATCTTCTTTTAAAATTTGTCAAATCTTGGTAAAAGTCAATGATATAAAGAAATTTTTCATTCAACTTACCATAAGAGTTTTCATAGAAAGAGTATTTTTGAATTCGTCTATCGCCTACATCAGTGACAAATAGATTTCCAAATTGATCGAAATTGAGAGTGAACGGATCCAGTAATTGGGTAGATTCGGAACCCTCTGCATCACATCCAACTAAACATCGAAAACCATCTAATCCTGAACCAACAATCCGATTGTTCCCAGAATCTACAATAAACAAATAGCCATCTCTATCCAAGACGACTCCAGTTGGATGAAGGAGTGAAATGGTTTCCTGTGAAGATCCGTCGCCAGCCACAGTGATAGCGATCGATTGTCCTGATTTAAAAAGTTGGATTCGATTGTTTTTATTATCTGCTACGTATAAATCAGAATTGAGATCAACAAAGATTCCCATAGGATTATTTAACTCATTCAGAGCAGATCCTTGAGTACCTGTTCCAGCCGCTATTATCGATGTCATGGCACCCTCATTTAACCATCTCTTTACGACTTGATGACGACCAAACATCGAACAGTAGAGAGTATCATTAGTATCAACAAAGAGACCATAACATGATACATCGACATTCAATACGGTGACAAAAGTATTTGTATCTGATATCCATCGTGTCACTCGGCCATTCTGATCACCATTCTCGAAATAAATATCTCCATTGTATGTTACAAATATGGAAGATGAATTTGAGAAATTGGCAGAAATGATGTATGTTGGATTGACACTTCATTCAGACCAAATGAGAATTTGTTTGTTTTCCCTATTCATCGTATAAACTGTGTTATTTGTATCTACAAAAATGCTCAAAGAATCTGAACCAATGATAGTTTCATCAGCAAAAGTGTTTCCGTCTGGATTCCAAGTAGCTGAAGAACATAATTTTGGTAGATTATATGATCGTACTAAAATAAAAGATCAGGTAAAAACGTTACAAAAGAACGAAATGAATAATTTTCTCTACTTTTACAATTAGGTTTCTTTTTTAACGAAACATCTTGAGGGT